CGCAGCGGGGAGCCATCCCCGCGCCTGCCGCGCCCCTTTCCCGGCGGGCCTGGCCGCCCCCTCCACCTCCCGGTCCGACCCGGTGGCCTCCTGAGCTCCTGGGCTGCCCAGGCCCGGCCTCGGCGCGCAGCCGCTTCCTGGGCCCGGCCTGCGGCTCTGGGGCCTTCCTCGGAGGGCCGCAAGCGGCCCCACCATCCCGGGCAAGGGTGACAGGAGGCAGCCCAGCTTGGCTGGGCTGGGAGGCGATCGTCTTTCAACTTGATTTCCTGAGGAGGAGGAACGACTGGGGTGGGGCACAGGTGGGGCCCTCCCTTCCCCCCTTCTCCTCTCCCTTCTGGGAGTGACCAAAGAGGGCTCCCAGCTGCACCTTTCTGGTGGAGGAGGGCCAGGGTGGTCAGTGGGGCTGGGGGCCCAGGCTGAGGGGCCCACGGTCTGGCAGCCATTCATGCCCCAAAAAACAGTTGGATTGGCTCAGCTGGACCTAGAAGGTGCTCAGAACAGCCCACCTGCCCTCTTTTCTGGGGAGGCTTAGATAACTGACTGCTACCCACTTGCTCTTGCAACCTGCTGCCTCTGCCCAGAGCAGCGGCTCTTTCCCTTCCTCCCTTCCAGGAAGATGCTGAGGATGACAGCTTTTAGCCTGACTCTTAGGTTTCTTTGGCAGAACAGTTAGAGGCCAGGCTGGCTTGTGAAGGCATCATCTTCCTTCTCCTACCCTGAAGAGAAAACTTACAAACTTTTAAATGTAAGAGGCAGCTGAGTTGGGAACCTGGAAGTGGGTTGCATCTGACTCTAAAAGTTCCTCCCTTCTGCTGTCATTACCTTATGCTGCCACAAAGTGGTGAGTTAGAGATTTGCCTAGGCTGGGTCTACTTTACCTTCCACTGATTACCCAGAATGTTCAGCCTTGGAGCAAGGGAAGAGGGTTGTCTTAGAAAAGGTGATGAGGAGAAACGCTCTGGGGATAGCGTGTTCCTTCCCACATGGTGGAGGCAAACCCAGGGATTTGCTTATATTTTCCTGCAGGCCTTGACACCATCAGAGAGATTCAGAGGATTTCAGACTTTTTTGCTGCTCTAGGACATGGATATGGAGGCTGGGGTTGGGGGAGTCTGTGAATGTTATCATCTAACCCCTATCATCCATTGGCCCAGGTCCTTGCAAAGGCCACCCATACTTGTTATGTGGTCAGGGTGGATGGCCTGGGCATAGTTCAGGGGTGTGGGCCAGCACCTCACAGGGGAGGGTTTTTGATATGGTCCTTGGCTCCATGTAGTTGTCCTAAATATCGGCTGCCGGAGGCAGTTTGTGTTGGGCCTCAGATCTGGGAGGCCTGGCCTCTTAGACCCAGCAGGCCACTGTGGTCCCCTGAGCAGTGGTGTCCTGAGTCAGGACTCAAGGCAGCAAGGGAGAAGGGAGCTGGCAGTCCAGGGAAGTGTCAACCAGAGCCCCTCTGCTTTTATCTAATATATGGGACTTCCAAGTAAGAATTTATTTGTAAAATATTTATACCACTAAAATTTTTTGGATACTATGGCTCATAGAGTGTGAGTAGAGGCAGGAGAATTTGTGGCTTCTCTGTATTGTGGGCTTATCAACCCAGTCTCTCACCTGTGAGACACTTGATTAAAGAGGGTTGGTGGACAGCCGGAGGGAATTCTGGAAGACTGATGTGCCCAGGCCCAGGGATGGGAGACTGAGGGTGGGTGGGAGTGGAGACCTTTGCCATCCCTTTGCCTAGAGGAGCTGAGCTGCCAGCAGACTTCTTTGATCATGTGTGAAGGGGGCAGATCTCCCAGCCCTGAACATCTCTCCCTTCACTGAGGGGGTTTATGTCCATGTGGTGAGTGCAAGCAGGACGGGGAGAGGGCCCAGGGAACGGCCGTTCATGTCTCCTACCTACGCTTATGATTTCTCTCTTCTCCACAGAACTGATCATCGAGGAAGGCAGAGCCCTCCTGGCATGCTGGGACCCTGCCTTGAAGAGCCGCCCGTCCTGTAGACGGAGCCCTGTAGTCTGACGTCTTGCTTTATGAGTTGGGCCGTCTGACTAGTCTCTCTGCTGTGCCTTGTCTGAGGTCCTTGTCCATCACCAAACCTGGGCAGCTTCTCTCTGGGTTGAGTCACCTTAAGTGGGAAACTGAAGCCATTACTCTCCAAACCCTGTTTCATCTTCCCAAGCATGTCAGAAAGCTGGCAGCAGCCACCACAGACGCAACCGCAGCAGCCTCAGCAGCCACAACCTCCGCAGCCTCAGCACCATGCGGAGCCGCCGCCGGCCCTGGCTGAGCACACGCTGCCCACAGGCACGGCTGAGAACCCCCTGGGCTGTGCCGTCTACGGCATCCTCCTGCAGCCGGACCCGGGCCTGCAGCCCCCGCAGCATGCGCCCCTGCAGGCGGCAGGCGAGCCAGGCCCCAAGTGCGGGGTGTGTGGGCATGACCTGGCGCACCTGTCCAGCTCCCAGGAACACCAATGCCTGGCAGGCCACGATCGCTCATTCCAGTGCACGCAGTGTCTCAAGATCTTCCACCAGGCCACGGACCTGTTAGAGCACCAGTGTGTGCAGGCCGAACAGAAGCCTTTCGTCTGCGGTGTCTGCAAGATGGGCTTCTCACTGCTCACCTCGCTGGCACAGCACCACAGTGCACACAGTGGTGCTGGTGGCCTCGTAAAATGTTCCATCTGTGAGAAGACCTACAAGCCAGCAGAGGCGGCTGAGCCGGCGGCCACCGCTGCCCCCGCGCTGCCCCCGGCACCTACTGTCACTACTGCTGAACAGACCGACAAGCCCTACAGCTGCTCCATCTGCCAGAAGCCCTTCAAGCACCTGTCGGAGCTCTCGCGGCACGAGCGGATCCACACGGGGGAGAAGCCGTACAAGTGCACGTTGTGCGATAAGAGCTTCAGCCAGTCGTCCCACCTGGTGCACCACAAGCGCACGCACAGCGCCGAGCGGCCCTACAAGTGCGCAGTCTGCGAGAAGACCTTCAAGCACCGCTCTCACCTGGTGCGCCACATGTACGCGCACTCGGGCGAGCACCACCTGTTCCGCTGCAATGTGTGTGAGCTGCACTTCAAGGAGTCCTCGGAGCTGCTGCAGCACCCGTGCACGCCGAGCGGGGAGCGGCCCTTCCGCTGCGGCGAGTGCCAGAAGGCCTTCAAGCGGCCGTCGGACCTGAGGCAACACGAGCGCACGCACAGCGCCGAGCGGCCCTTCAAGTGCGACCTGTGCCCCATGGGCTTCAAGCAGCAGTACGCGCTGATGCGGCACCGGCGCACGCACAAGACCGAGGAGCCCTTCAAGTGCGGCCTGTGCGAGAAGGGCTTCGGGCAGCCCAGCCACCTGCTCTACCACCAGCACGTGCACACCCTCGAGACCCTCTTCAAGTGCCCCGTGTGCCAGAAGGGCTTCGACCAGTCGGCCGAGCTGCTGCGGCACAAGTGCCTGCCGGGCGCTGCCGAGCGGCCCTTCAAGTGCCCCGTGTGTAACAAGGCCTACAAGCGGGCGTCAGCCCTGCAGAAGCACCAGTTGGCCCACTGCGCGGCCGCCGAGAAGCCCCTGCGCTGCACCCTGTGCGAGCGCCGCTTCTTCTCTTCCTCGGAGTTCGTGCAGCACCGCTGTGACCCAGCCCGCGAGAAGCCTCTCAAGTGCCTGGACTGCGAGAAGCGCTTCAAGTACGCGTCCGACCTGCAGCGGCACCGGAGGGTGCACACGGGCGAGAAGCCCTACAAGTGCCCCAACTGCGACAAGGCCTTCAAGCAGCGCGAGCATCTCAACAAGCACCAAGGTGTGCACGCGCGCGAGCAGCAGTTCAAGTGCGTGTGGTGTGGTGAGCGCTTCCTGGACGTGGCCCTGCTGCAGGAGCACAGCGCGCAGCACAGCGCAGCCGCCGCTGCTGCCGAGGGCGCCTACCAGGTGGCCGCCTGCTTGCCCTGAGCTCTCACGGGCCCCCACCAGGCCCAGCCTCCCACCCAGCTTGGTGTTCTAAGGTCCGGGACATGAGAACAGAGAGGGCAGTGGGCAGATGGAGGGGGTGGTTGCCCGACACTCCTGGCACTGGCCTAGCGGTAGTGGGGGCAGCTTGATTGCTGCGGCTGGCCCTGAATCCTAAAACGTCTTTCCCGTGATGGGATTAGGTTTCATGAGGGGACCCGGAGCCAGGCTGAAAGTCAAGTGACCTCTCCCCACCCCAAGAAAGGGGTGATGCCGGCCCAGCCTTCCCAACCCCGTTCAGCCTGATTAGAAACCAGATAGGTTAGGAAAGAGGATGACCACAGCAGAGCCTGGGAGAAGGGCCAGCACCCCAGAGGGCAGTCAGGTGTAGGGAGAGAACAAAAACCAAACCTATTGCCATCCAGTTGACACATGGTGCCCCCAGGGGTAGAAGTGCTCTGCAGGGTTTTCTTGGCTGTAATCTTTACGGAAGCAGATCTCCAGGTCTTTCTTCTGTGGCATCACTGGGTGGGTCTGAACCACCAACCTTTAGATTAGTAGTCAAGGGCAAACCGTTTGAGCCAGCCAGGGATCTTGGATGTAGAGCATTCCCCCTCAAATTGCTGTTTGGGGGAGCAGGCCAGATTTGTTACATGGTCCTGGGGACCAGGAGGGCAGGCAGTGAGCCAATTTTTTTTTGTCTGCTCCCACCTGGGACGCCTGCGCCTGCCAGCTCTCTGACGTGCAGGATGTGCCAGATGAGGTCTCAGGGTTGTGTCTACCTAGAAAGTGGCCAGCCCAGCCAGAGGGGGCTAGAGAAGTTCTCTGGAACCCTAGGCTGGGGACGGTGCCATCCGGGAGAAAGGAGCAAAGGCAGCCACTTTTGGCTGAGGGCTGATTCTGCTGTTTGGGAAGCACCCTTCCCACTTTTGCAGCGTCATTGGTGCTGTGGTGGGCAGAGTGCTCTCAACCAGATAGAACTGGTGTGTGAGGAGGGGCTGTTAGACCACCGGGGCTGGGAGGAAGCAGGCCAAACCCAAGGTCTTCCCAGTGGATACACACAAGTGTCCTTCCCCTGAATTATGTGAGCCAAAGCATCAGGGGTGTGGCCGGGAACAGCCTCTGACCCCAGGTGTCCTCCCAGCCCCTGGGAATTTCCCCCAACCCACCAGTCTGGCTGCTGGCCTGGACCGCAGGGGTCTTGGGCTGACAGGATGCCTGGGACAACATCCACCTATTTCCAAGGCCAGAGCATTCTCCCTTGAGTCCTCCCAGGGTCCTCTTGGATCTCTGGTTGCACACAGGGCTTGAGGAGCCTCAGGTATCCAGGGCTTAGGGAATGGGTGGGGAAAGTGGTTTATTAAGGACAGAAGTAGATGATGTGCTTGGAAGGTGGATGGAGTCAACCGCCATGGCTGGATGGCCTGGGTTCTCCACAGACTCACCCGGCCTCTCCTTGGGAAGCCCAGAAAGACCAAAATTAAATCCGTTGCCATTGAGTCAATTCTGACTTGTGGAGACCCCATGAGTTAGAGTAGAGCTGCTCCCTAGGGTTTTCTTGGCTGTAATCTGTATGGAAGCAGATTGCCAGGACTTTCTTCCTCAGCACCTCTGGGTGGGTTCAAACCACCAACCTTTCAGTTAGTCAATAGCAAACAATTTATGCCACCCAGGCACCTTTGGGAAGCCCAGAGGGAACTTTATTATCCAAATTATTATTTTGAACCCAGCTCTGCTCCCTGCCCTCCTCCATCCCCGCCTCTCCCTGGTCGTAGGTCTTGAGAGAAGATTTAATCAGCGCACCAAGGGCCCAGAGGAGTAGGGAGTTGCTGCTTTGCCTCACTCTTACCTTACGAAGTCTGAAAAGCCCACGTCTGCCTCCTCCATCTCACTGAGTCCTCCACCTGTGCCCACAGAGAGGTGGGTCCTCCCCTCCTTGGCACTGGCTCTTGGTCACAGTGCCTCAAAAGACATGGAACCCAAGCTTCCAAAGTCCCAACTGCTAATTTTTTCCTTTCATTTTGCTTTCTAAAAGCATTTTGTTGTACTGTTCATTACATTGTATAGTTTAATTTCATGTCATTTTGGATCTTACATAAAAATGAGAATTTGGATTTTTAAAAAGAATGACTCCATTTTAGGTAGCCACTTTTGATGTTAATATATAGTGAGTCCAATGTATGCTTTAGAAGTAAAGACATTGACCGTCACAGACCAAAGCATGACTTGTTCTCGTCGTTCTTCGACAGGGGAATGGGCTGCTGAGAGGGAGAGCGAGGTGCTCAGGCCAGGCGGCAGGCTCGGGGTGGGGACATAGGGCTGGGTTCGAATCCTCAGCTTCGATTGTTCTGGCCGTGTAACCTTGGGCAAATCACTTACTTGCTTTGAGACTTAGTTGCCTCATCTGTAAAATGGGGAGGTTAGCCCTTGCCTTGGTTATTGTGAGAATTAAATAGGATCGTATATGGAGGGGAAGCTGCCTCACAGGAGTGGGCTTGCAGCCTCTTGACCTCCTCGAGGTTTAACTGCAGCCCCTGAGAAGGGAGCCAGGCTATGAGAGACCAGCAGCGGATGGAGCGTCAGAAGCTGGGGCCTCGGGCCTGGTAAGCATGAGAGCTTGCTCAGCTCTGATGGGAAACCAGAGGACTTCCCCTCCCCAGACAGCCTTGCCTCAGAGGACCACCTGTTCTTGCCCCACTTCCACTTGCCTGTCGCACACTGCTCCATCGGCATGCCCAGCCCAGCCACCCTCACCCCAGCCCCTGCTACACACTTTTTACCCTCACCCCTACCCGCCAGTGGCCCAACTGCAATTTGGGCCCTTCCATTTCTCAAAGGCGAGGGTGGACGTGGAGAGAGAGAGGGCGACATAACCAGATCTGAGCATTTGAGAGCCGGTGGAGGGTGACCAGAAGGGCACCCTGCCCTGGGGAGAGGGTAGGAGGGGAGGGCTTTTAGAAGGTCAGGAGGGCAAGGAGCTGCCCATGCCCAGGGGCTCAGAAACTGGGTGCAGAAGGCTTAGAATGCTGGGGGCCCCAACTGTGACACAGACCCCACACTCTTATTCCCTCTGCAGGTGGCCACAGCAGGGCACTGCTCTTAAGAAGCCATGTAGTTTGTTCGCACAGGGTGGTGGCCTGTGGTCTACTGCTCAGCAAGAGAATGCCCAGTGCCCCTTGTATCTATGCCAAGTTCAAACCCGAGCTTCCCTTCTGGCTATGTAACCTCAGGCATACTCCACCCACCTTGTAGAGATGCTGGAAAGCATTGGCATGCTATAAAAATAGTGGTGTGGTGGGGGCATCTGACCTCCTCTAACTTTAGGAGGGGGAGGAGAGAGAATTAGGATCAATAACCCAAGGCTGATTCCTATGAAGCAGAGGTCAGACATACCTCCTCTCTCCAACCTTTTTACCAATTCTGACACTAGCCTCCCACGGCACTCTCTACTCTGACGGTTAGATAATTCATTGCAATGGCCACATGGAACTCACAGACAATACCCATGATTATGGGGTTTATTAGGGAAATAACAGGTTACAGTTCAGGATCAGGAATGACTCAGGATACAGTTCTTCCATCAGGACAGCCTCTTCCCAGCCATGCTCTCAGGCACGACTCTCCCTGGCCCTTGTCCTCTCAGCCCTCAGCCCCTTGGGCCTCTTGGGCTGGCCTGGCCTCTGCCCTGCTCAGGGAAGTGTTACAGAGCACTTTAGCTCCACCAATAAATGCCCAGAGGCACCCCACTCTGCCAGTAAGCCTCGGCCTGAGGGCGCTCAGCTCTCTAGCTCTTGGGCCTCAAGCCTAGCTCCACCAACAAGTGCCTAGAGGCACCCCACTCCACAAGCAAACCTCCTGCCCAAAGGCGCTCAGCTTTCTCGCTCCGTGGGCAGGTAAGCCCACCTTGCAGTCTCCTGCTGATCTCCTGGGTCTGCTGCCTTTGCTGCTGCCATTTCTTTGCTGCTGCTTCTCGCCATCTCTTGTTTCCGGTGCCACAGCTCTCTCTCTCTGTCTCCTATGTCTAGGAGATTCTCAGCACAGGATCCTGGGTCCAAAGGATGTGCTTTACTCCTAGCTCTTCTTTCTTGGTGGGAGTGAGCAGAGGCCTATCAGGCGTGGGGGGAGCCCAGGTAGGGTGTGTGCCCTGGGCGCCGCTTGAGGCAGGGTGCCAATGAGCAGTTTCTATTTGCCATCACAGTTTCCAACACCAGCTATGAGAGATCATTTAGCAATTTAACACTCATTGTCCTAGGCGCGATTTTCCATAGATAGGCCCCTGCTAGTGAATCTGCTCTGGAATTGACTCTCTTTTAAGCCTAGCAGGATCGCAAAATTGACCTAGTCCCTCTTTAGGCTTCCATACAGCTTATTTGCATGGTTCCACGCCCACAGGGGTTCCATGCACTTTATTTGCATTATTAGCAGGGTATCCAATCCCCTTGGTGGCCACAAACAGCTTATTTGCATAGTCGCACCCAATTATTTGGTGAATGTTATAAGACCATAACAAGAAAGGCTATATAAAACTGATCCATCACACCACACGTGCCCTCCATGTGCTTCGTGTGCTGGGGCAGGAAGAGCCCTGGCTGGGCGTTGCTGAGCTCACATGGACCCTGCAATGACCTTTCTTCCTTTGTCCTACCCCCACCCCCATCACAAAGCAGTAGGGCTCCTGCAGCTCCCACCTGGCTCTTGGACTCTGGTAACAAGTGACCTGGGGCAGCTCTCTGCCCCACTCTGGGCCTCAGTTCCCTGTCTGAAGTGTGGGTCTTGACCTCTGATCTCTTAGGGCCTTTACAGACTTGATGCTTTGCTTCTAGTAAGGTGACAGGATCAGTCTGTGTCCCCTTTTCCCCTCCCTGTTCCTCCTGGCCTCCAGCCCACTCCCCTTTGGAGTCTCAGTCTGCTGTCTCTTGTTTGCAAGTGGCAGAAACAGCACAAACTGAGATTGAATTGCTACCCCTAGCCATACAGGCCCAGGCACCTTTGCCACCTACCCACCTGGGGAACCTCAGCCTACAGGATGACCTCAGCTTCCTGCGTCCCATTTCTGATGAGAGTCTCCCTCTCTCAAGCAGAGCATTGTAACAGGGGAACTCAGATCCTGTGCTAGGGGTATACACCAATACTGTCTTCTTTAGTCTCCAGGTGATCAGTCCCCTTGCCCAACCACTGACAGGATGGGGAAGAAGGTGGTGCCTGGGGTAGGGGGAGACAGCTGGACGAGGACCAGAGATGGGTGGAGGAAGAAGGGAGAGGCTGACATAAATTTGATATTCTATAGTTAGGGTAAAGGGTGCCATACCGGGGACCATTCTCCCTGGTCCTAGAGGTCAGTGCCAAGGCAGGTGGGGTCATGTAAAAATGGTGTGGTGGTGTTGTCAGACCTCCTCATCTAACTTCACAAGGGGGAGGAGAGAGAATCAAAGATCAGCATCAGCCCAAGGCTGATTCCTATGAGGTCAGGCATATCTCCTCTCTCCAACCTCTTTACCAATTCTGACACCAGCCATCCCTCCCACGGCACTCTCTACTTCTCTCCTGGGTTAGATAATTTGCTGCAGTGGCCACAAAGAACTCATAGACCATACTCACGATTATGGAGTTTATTAGGGAAGTGACAGGTTACAACCTGGGGTCAGGATCAGGAAGCATGTAGGCAAAATCTTCCTTCTTCAGTGCAGGACAGCTCTCTCAGCTCCTCTAGGGCTGTGCAGGATTCCTCTTGCCCCCGCTGAGGACAGGCCTCCTCTCTCAGCCCTCGGCTCTTGGCCCTGCTCAGGCCTGGCCTCTGCCCTGCTCAGGCAAGTATTACAAAACTCTTCAGCTCCACCGATAAATGCCCAGAGGCACCC